ACGTACCGCACACCACCCCCCCCCCCCTCCTCCCCGCGCCCCACGCTGTGCCAGTGAGAAAGCCATAAAAAAATGTCACACCTTTTTGTTATTGCTTTAGTGGCTGCCACAAGGCAAGCATATGCAGCATTCTATTTAATTACAAATAAAATGTATTTTTCCCTTTTGTTTGTTTATCTCAAAGAATATTTGCGCCATTTGAGCTTTGTGCTCTATTTGCAAAAATGACTTGTTTTTTTTTCACAATTTTTTATATTTATATATGTATCTTTTATTTATTTTTTGGGTTTTTGGGCGCCCATTGAATTATGAGCGCGTATATCTTATCAAGGCAGAACAAAAACCCATTCGGAAGATCTGTGCGCCGTCTATTTGTCCAGACTGCGACTGCGTCTCAGTTAGATTGGACCAGAAAGTGTGCGTATTTATTTTGTGTGTGCTGATAATAAAACACTCAGTTAAAGGTTTAGTTAGTTTCTAGTTTATTGTTTTATATGTATATGGCAAATACACACACAATTTATTTATTGGCCCATGGCCGTGAAGGTCAGACGCAGCCTCACAATGTCGCTGCCCAGCAACAACAACAACAACAACAAGAACAAGTACTTGGCTCCAGTTTTGGCCAGGTCCACACATTGTTTACACACACCGTTTTCTAGGTGTGAGAAATTTGTGCCCAAAGTGCCAACAGATAATATTGTACATAGTTTAAATTGGGCTACAATTTTATGCCCGTACTCTTTCAGTTCAAGTGACTTTTTATAGGGTATTCCATGAATTGTTTTCAGTTTAGCAAATAAATCTTTATAGACCATTTTTGTCGCAGGAGTTTTCTTTCAACTCGTTTCGCGGGCTCATTTTCTCTCTGTGTAGTCAAACATTTCCAATCGAAAATCTCTAAAAACTATATATATATATAGAGTATTTGGTTAGCTGAGAGTTTTGATGCTCTATTTGGGTTTCTATACAGACTTAAACTATGGCAGTTATATGATATAGTGCGCCGATCCGGCCAGTTCTGATATTAAACTGAATTTAGTCTCAAAACTAGTTCGCTTGAAAAAAAGACAGACTATAATAGATCAAGTGCAGATCTGGAATATATATACTTGCAGGATTAGGAGAGAGGAGTATAATAAATATTCTTAAATATATGCATCATAAGAAATTCAAAATTTACTCAAATATATCCACAAAAGTTTAGTGTTCAAATGTTTATAGAAGAATCTATATGCCAGTTCCTTTTTTTCATTTTGCAGAGAGAATAAAGGAAGCTTGAAAAAGTTGCTAACTTTGAGAAAAAAAAAAACGACATAATCATATGTTACTCTCTTACTCAAAAAAAAAAAGAAGTTGACTTTTTATATAGATATATAGGAAATAGAAAAAAAGTTTATATAAGCAATAGAATTTTGGGAAAACCTTAATCAAATCCGAGTTTTTCACGCATTTTCCTTTATATAACACGGCGGAGTTACAAATTATTGCGAAATTGTACAGTTGACAAAAAGACAACAAAATAAATAAATAAATAAATTTTATTGTTATTTTTGTTAAGTTCAATTTACACAAGGAAATCCAGCTTGATGATTGTGGATTTTTGCCTGATATACATAGAATTTCTTTGGCTTTCGGTTTTTTGCCTTTTAATGGTGACAAATATTTGTGCACTTCCCTTCCAAGTCTGTCTAAACAGTTGCGGGTTATCAGCATTAGGCGTATTAAACGCGCCCCGTTTATCAGGCTCAGCCAGTTGGCCAAGAACACGCGCGGGCCAAAAAAAAAAAAAAACAAGTAAGAGGTTCTAGTCCGCAGCTCCCGACTAGGGGATACCCTGAACCCTCCTCTTCCAACAGCAAACGCACACATATATTCTATTATAGAAGCTATATGTCAAGTTTGGGGACTCTAGCTCTTGTTATTTACCTAAATTGGATGAAAAACAGTTTATCGATATCGATTTTTATCGATTGCTGGGAAAAGGAGTTAGTTATCGTTTATCGGAAACAAACTAGGAGCACCTACATCTAAAATTTCAAGTCTATAGCTCTTATAGGTTCAGACAGACAGACGGACATGGCTAGATCGACTCGGCTTTTGAGGCTGATCAGGAATATATATACTTAATGGGGTCGGAGATGCTTCCTTCTGCCTGTTACATACATTTGGATTTGGCACAAACACAATATACCCTTATACACATTTTTAATGGGTAATCAGAGGCCAACTAAAATCGCAAAGAGACTACAAAATGTGAGATTTATTATTGGCCGGGCGGGCAGAGAGACGACAAAAAGGCTGTAGATAGATTAAGTATTGTGTGGACTTAGCAGGAATGAGGCTTTAATTTTTATATGACGATTGCCACATTTGACTAAACAAACTGGCGACGATGTTGTTGATGTTGCTGCTGCTGATGATGATGACGACGGCGAATGTTATAAATTCATGTCTAAACAAAAGTGTAAAAAATAAACACGACTGCGAGAGCGACAAGATAAGGCGCAAAGCCAAAGTTTTCAGTTTTCTATTCTTTACGTTTTTTTCATTTTTTTTTTTTTGGCCCAAAACTTTGTCTATGCTCTTGCAATCGCAGCTGCAGAGCAGGTAACTAACGATTCGTAGTTCGAACCTGCAACCAACTTTTAATTGTGCCAACAAATAATAGTGCATTGACTACCAAAATACACTTAACTTTTTTGTTGAATTGCAAATTTTGGCTTCTCTTCAAATTTAGCCCGCATTTTGTGTATGAAAATATTTAAGGCTCGGAATATTTTCAGTGCAAAGGGGCAATTGTTAATTAATGGGAGGTTTTTTTTTTGCTATTTAAGAACTTGACAGAGCATTTAAAGAGCTTAACGTGCAGGCTGGAAACTGGCTCAAATCTTCTTCGATTAAACATAGATTGAATATGCTTTTAATTTTACATACATTTAACATAGATTGAATATAGATTGAATGTAGATTGAAGACAGATTGAACAAAGATTGAATGTAGATTGAAGATAGATTGACAACAGATTAAAAACAGATTGAATGTATATTGACTATAGATTGAAGACAGATTGAATACATATTGAATATAGATTGAACACAGATTGAATGTAGATTGAAGACAGATTGAACATAGTTTGAATGTAGATTGAATCTAGATTGAACGTAAATCAAATATAGATTGAAGATAGATTAAACATAGATTGAATACAGATTGAAGACAGATTGAATATAGATTGAACATAGATTGAATGTAGATCAAATATAGATTGAATATAGATTGCAAACAGATTGAATACAGATTGAATATACATTGAATATAGATTAAAAATATATATTTTACATAGATTGAATATAGATTGAATATAACTTAATTTTTTGGAATTTAGAAAATTTAGAAAATATATGACAAACGCGCCTAAGAATTGCGAGAGAGTTTCACGAGCCAAAAGTAAAGGCAGCAAGCTGGTTCGAACTTTTCAGGCGAAACATGGACTATAAACCTTTTTTTTTACAGAACTGTTTAATATTTCTACACACATTTGAATTGCTGAAGAGAATAGGGCTTCGATTTCCTTCTGTTAATGTTAGATTCACATAATATCGCAGCTTTCGCTTCTCTCTCTTTGCTTCTCTCTTCTCTGCACACTGTTCTCTTTTCCCCTTTGGAATAGAGTAATGCCTCGTATATCGTATATCATTGCAGCGCATTTTTAAGGTCTTTAACACCTATTTTGTTGCCGGGCCCGCCTGCATGCTCTAGTTACCCGGCCCGGCCCGCTCCGCTCCGGTCCGGCCCGGCTCGGCTCGGTTGGGCCTATCTGCTGGCAAATGTCGCCTGAACTTATCATCTGTGAAAATATTTGTATGTTTGCTTGCTTGTTTGCTCGATTTTAATTGTGGCCACGGAGCCAAGCGCATAGAAAAAATATAAAGTACAAAAAATTAGAGCAAAATCCCAACAAAAAAAAAAATAAAAATAAAAATGTTTGCATTGCGTTTTGTTATGTGAGAGAGTTAGGCAGAGTGTATGTGTGTGTGTGTGTGTGTGTGCGTTTATCACGTAGGCAGACGCAACTATGGCATGACATGATCCCGTGGCCTTTTTCATGCCTCGTCTTTGGCTGTTTGTCATTTATTTGAATTTTGATTGACTAATTGCGCAGCGAACGTGCTGAGAGAGATCAGAGAGCAGATCAGGTCGTTCTACACAAGGTGTCTTTGGCGGCGCCCACAAAACAGGGGGCATTGCCAAGGGGGGCGCAATTTAGAAAATTTTGATGTTTACCGCAGCGAAAAGTTGACAAACTTTTGATCGTGACATGGCCAACGCGGTTTGCACATTTTATGGCCTATCTTAATTCAAATATTGTCGGCTTGCATGACAACCCCGATGATAATGACAATGACAATGATGATGACAATGATGATGATGATGGTGATGATGATGATGGGTGGATGGGTGAACTGTTTGCCCAGTCAGTCACTCACGTGGCTCTGACGACAAACGAGCTCGGTTAAAGAATTTTCATAAATTATTCACAATTCGAAAAGTTTAACAAAATGCAACATTTGCTTCCAGCATGAAACATAATTATTAATAATATTATTTTATAATATTAATAATATTTTTATATATTATTAATTATTATTTAGCTTATTAATGTTAAGATTAAATATTCTTTAAGCTGTTTATTTAAATAAAAAAATGCCAACAAAATTGATTTATTCAAATCAAAAATTAAAATAATTTTCTTTTAAATTATTTCCTCTGCGATTTAACAAATATTCTCACATAATTTTGCTTGTTATTCAAAATTATGTTTATTTTATGCAAAAATTGCAGAAGTAGTTTTTCGAGTCTTTTATTGGATTATCCTGTTCCTTTTTGTGCCAAGTTCCTGACACTGATTTACACTCACTTTTTTTTTGGATTTGTACATCTTCATTTGATGCAAATTGAACTAATTAAAGTTTCATTTACTTTCGCTTCATTTGCAGGCAAAACGCGCACCAAGGACAAATATCGCGTCGTCTATACGGACTTTCAGCGCCTGGAGCTGGAGAAGGAGTACTGTACGTCCCGTTATATAACCATACGCCGTAAGAGCGAATTGGCGCAATCGTTGTCGCTGTCGGAGCGCCAGGTGAAGATCTGGTTCCAGAATCGACGCGCCAAGGAGCGCAAACAGAACAAAAAGGGCAGCGATCCGAATGTTATGGGCGGCGTCCAGCATACGGACTACAGCCAGCTGCTGGATGCCAAGACAAAACTGGAGCCGGGCCTGCATCTGCAGCACACGCTGCATTCGATGAACCCAATGGCGGCCATGAACATATCCGCCATGCGGCTTCATTCGCACTCCCATCTGGCGGCCCACAGTCATGCGCTGGCCGCGGCTTCTGCCCATTCCCATCAGCTGCAGCACAGCGCCCAGATGTCCGCCGTGGGCGTGGGCACGCTCTCCATGTGACATGATTATGCAGGCGCCGTTGAGCCGAATAGCTATGAAAGCAGCGGGGGAGGCAGCGGGGGAGGCAGCGGGGGCGGCAGCTATGGCTATGCAGCGTGTCCACGTGATCTGGCCGTGGATTTGGCTTAAGCACTTTGTATTGGTCGGCCAGGGGGGGGTTGTGGGTGAGTGTGTGTGGGAGAGGGGATGGTGGGCGGGGTCAAACAGTTAGACTGTTTGTGCAGCCGGATGCGTATGCCGTCGTCGACCTTTGAATATTGCACGTTGTTAATTTTTGTGATTGTATATTCACGGCGTTCGTGGCACGCCTCCTGGCTGGCCACGCCCACAGCGGCACAAATTTCATTGCATAACTTTGTGGCCCAATTGTATGTAATATGTTTTTATTTTTTTTTTCTTGGTTTTTTGTTCTAGTTAATGTTTAAAATGTAAGCGCAAGATTTGATTAGTTAGCATCGAGACACACACACACACACACACACGCACACACATATATATATATATAAAGTATTGCAGAAACAAATCCATCAGAAAAGAAAAAAAAAACATTTAAATTAATATTTAAACAATATGTTAAGCCGTCCCGCTTGTCTTATTGCTTTTAAACAAAAACACAAACTATATTATAATTTAGTTAATATTGAGAAAGTTTTTAATATTTTGGTGCAATTTGATTACACACACACACACACACACACACACATGTAAATATGTAACAGAACACAAGTTTTAACGTTTATTACTTAAATGCGGTAATAACAATTAGTTAGTTACTAGACTAAATTGAATTTAATGTTAATAACAGCAAAAAGCAACAGCACAAAGCACAAACACACACACACACACACACACACACACATACATATTTTGTGCACAACAAATTAAATATATAATCTAAGTAATTATTGCATATCAACATTTGTGGCACACGTGCTTGTAATTTAATGTTTAGTTAATTAATTTATGTAAAATCCATGTGCTATTTGAATTAAACAAAAATAAAATTTAAAAGAAAAACAAACAACAAACAAAATGATTTTCGTTACATTTGGGGGTTAGTTTCGGTGTGAACTATTCACAATAGCAGCAGCTGATTTGCTCCACCTACTGGCAAGAAGAGGAAGCAGAGCTGTCAATTTGATTTCACATTGCCTACGCCTTCTCCGCTCAAACGCCATTGACACGCTCAGCTGACACTATTGCGTGCTCTGTTGCACTAATTGGATATATGCGCCGTCTCAGTTGGCTTGCTGCATGTAATTGAATTCGAATGATATGAGTACTCCATACAAACACACACACACATGCACGCACACTGACAAAGCGGCTAACATATTAGCAATTGGAGAGTCAACATTTGGAGAGTATTAGCTTATGTATATGTACATAAATGCAGCATGTATGCAGGTTCACCTTTGGAGACTGTGACACGAATATCTTGCTTTTACCGCTTCGATTGATTTACGATGCTCACTTTCCGATTTATTGAGATGGCTGCCAATTAATACATAGTATCTGTTGCGGATACACAGTCAATGCCAAGGCAACACCATCAAAAGAGTCAACTATGTATGTGTTGTGCAGCGTCGAAGGGCGCGGAGATAAAAATGTAAAAGTCAAATACATAAAAATATAACGAAAGAATTAACATTTTTTCACAGCAATAAATGCATAAAAGTCAAATATATGCCGATATATGGCATAAAATTTATAATCTTTTGCAGCGCAGCGCATTGGATGCTCAGCTCAGCCATTGTCAGCGCTAATAGAGACATACCGAAAACAGCTCGACTGGAGAATTCGAAGTGAACGAAATGAAAAACTTTGAATTTCGAGCGGACGTTACTTTTCGGTCTGCCATAAACTTTTATGGGCCCGAAAAGACGACGACGACGACGACGACAATGGCGCAGCTGTAAGCAGAAGTTACGTTGATTGGAGAGTGTAGCTGTAACTCTAGGGGTCGATTGGGCCGATCCTCTGGGTGCCAATTAAGACAGCAGCCGCCATCATATCATAAAACTTTTTTTTTTTCCATTCGTGAGCGATCTTAAAAAGATCATACCGTACATTTTATGGCAGCCGAACAGCCGGATAGCCAGAGTTGCCAACTCTTATGCCTCTTATGCTATTCACAAGAAGTGAGGTTATAAATCACTTGGCATTTGCCCGCTTCTTTTTCAGTTGCAATTGAATGGATGTCAATGTGCTCACAAAATGGCGTGCGCATGCATAAGCTGTGAATTCCCAGTAATTGGAAATGTGCAACTGCGTTTTATCGAAACGCATGTGTAATGCGGTAGCCGACACAAAAGTCGGCAAAAGTCAAAAACAATTGCGCATTCGTGTTCGTTACAGACGGCTGACGGCCAAAAGCCAGAAGAGTTGAGAGAGTTTAACCCGAATGTGAAATCTCCAATTTAGCTCGAATCTCGAAAATCTCGGCTGGAACCAATGCAAACATGACCTCGTCCCGCTGCTCGAGCGCCTGCGCAGCCGCAATGCGATCGCGCTGCATCCGTTCGTTCGCCTGGATACCGTTTTTTTTTTCTCCCTCTTCTTCTTCTTCTTCTTTTTTTTAGCATGTAGGTGTGAAAATGCAGCACACACTTCCTTTTATCGGCACTCGGACTGTTTGCTTACTTACGGTTCGTTATTTTTTTTTTTTTGCCTCTCTCTTTTTTGCATTAAAGTCAAAATATTTTGGGTTGCACGCAGTAAATATCAAAGGGGGGGGTGGTAAAAAAAAAAAAAAAAAAGAAACGTTTTCAGCAATCGACTTTGCGATTCGATTCGTATCAAATCTAGACAGGTTGTATATACTCACGGTCAGTTCGGCACGGTCTGGACATTTCCGATTTTGTTAATCTGCTGCATTATAAATCAACTGTCGAGAGCCACTCCGAGCTTGTTTTTCTTGTACCAGTCGAGGTACTTGAAAACTCTAGCATGATTTCTGTTGCCATTCGGCTAAGCCTAGCCATATACCATAAATGGCAAGCCCTGTGCCGATCTGGCATCACAGAAATTGAAAGATTTTCAGTTTTTTGCCTTTGTTCAGTTCGGTTACACTGATTTGCAATTTCACAAAAGTATGTACATAACCTAAACTCTATGGCTAATGCCTATTCCTATAAATTTACAATTGGAACTGGCAAAGTTTGTACTTGAGTGGAGAGCAGCAAAACAGTAGCCGGGTATTTAGGTTTATTTGCACATTATACTTAATTAAAGCGCCCACAACGCAATCACATGACAGCCAGAGACAATGCTCTAATCAGTTTCTCAAGCGTGAACTGAATGCAAAATGTTTACGGCGGAGATGCACATATAAAAAACCTACGGAGAGCTGTCCTCTTATCTCCAGCATGATCGAGATAATTAATTTATGCCTAGCTGCATATTTGCTGGTTCCACCCAAACGCATCTTTATCCGGTTGCCTGTCTCAAGTTCAGATCGAAGGTGAGAAAGACAAAAAGTTGTATTTTATGCGGGAGTTTGATTAACACATTATTCGGTGTGTGAGTTTTTGTGTTTATGGAAATTAAGCAACAAGTTTTTATTAGTAAGCATGCACTAATTAAACTCTGTCTATATGTTTTTGTTATTTTTCTGCTTTTTTTGTCACAGACAAAATCAACAGCCACAAAAATACAAGAAAAAAAAAAAACTGAAACTGAATTTTTTGTGCTCTGTGGAGCAGTGGATCATAAAAGCCGCTAAAAGGTGTGGGCGATTTCACAAAAACACAAAAACATTGTGATTTGTTTATTGAATTGATTAGAGTGCGCCAGAGTCGAGTGTGTCGAGCACGAGATTCGGACATTTGATCAAGGGAAGCATTAATCATAACTCAAACTCAACTCAACTCGAACAACTCAAAATGTACACATTCTTATTACAAAATTCAAAGTAGGCGGGCAAAGCTTCAGTCAGTTTTGAAATTAAGCAAATATTTCAAATATAACTGAAAATTCATTACGTTTGGTCCACAGACAAAAGCTGCTTGCTAATGCACTTCAAACGTATTTATTTCGTATCGATAGCAAAATTAATCGTTATCGTTTCTAGTTGCCACCTGGCATAAAAACGCGTTTTTGAAATTACCTAAAAAATCACGCGCAGCTAACTTCAAGTCAAACTGAATTGTGTTTTGTCATTGCGAAGTGTTTTATAGCCCAACTGCCCGGAATTACAAATATTTCTATATAAAATGGTAAATAGTTAGCCAAAATATGCCAGCCATATATATAGTAACTAATGTGCACTTCGCTCAACAGAATCAGCAATCGCTCAAAGTTCGCCCATCAGACGTACAGGTGCTGAACGCCACGGGCAAGGCGAGGCTGCCCACGGATCAGAACTGTTTGAGCCAATTGGCGCACGTACATCGTTTGCGCGACTCGGAATTGAATTATGATGATCACAAGTATAACTTGAACATGCAAATGCTGCGAAATCGCGAGGGTCTGGGCGCACCCTTGCGAATGGGCATGGAACGCTTTGCCGCACGCCAAATAGGCCGTTTGCCCTTTCTGCAGTCCAGGTGAGCACCAACAAATATTCATTTAAATAAAGTATTTAATCTATATGTATTGCAGCAACATGATGGACGATGTGATCACTGGACGCTGTGACGAAATCTCATTTGAAGACTTCCTCAACCTGCCCGAGTACAATGAGAACTTGCGCCAGCCGCATGCCGTCGTGGAGAAATCGTTGGGCATTTATCTCTAGATAGATCTATAACTTTTTTACATTACCATCTTATAATAAAAACTGTAACAGCCCTTGCTTCACAAAGTGGAATCTGCAGCGCGAAACTTCTTTGAGCCAAATGCACACATTTATTTGTCATCAACATTTTGCTAATTATCGCACAAACTTAGACATTTTACTCAAACATAACGTATTTCAACTAAAAACTATAAAGAATATATTGGCAGAGTTTTGGTTTCTAAAATTATACGTAGAAGAATCGGTTGTACTCGAGAGATTCATTAAATTATATACGTAATGCATACAAAAAAAATAAAGAGCAAAAAGTTGCCTTTAAAAAAGGCATGGAAAACCGTTTTTAAAAAATATATAATTAAAATAGGGAGCATACAAATTAAAAACAGCTTGCAAATGGACGAATTCGTTTCATACAATAACATTAGACTTAAGCTTAAGGAAACCAAATTAAATGAAGCGGAGGGCATGTTTTTTTTTAAATTATACAATATTGCATATGTAGAAGATATTTCGTTTGTTGGAATACAATAGATACTATATATAGAGAATCGCTCTAGTAGATCCAGTTGACGGGCACCCACTGCTCCTCGTGACTCATCTGGTCCAGGGTCTCGACCACCTGACGGAACGTCTCATCAAAATCTTCGTTGACAATGACCATATCGAAGTATTTCTCATATTTGCGTTGGACAAAGCTGCTCTCCTCCACCGTGGAAATGAGATCGTCGTCCTGTTGACAATGATAACGATAATGATATGTGTTAAGCAATGTTTGTGTATTCAAGCAGAGATCTAGGAGCGCTACAAAGGTGGCCTAATGCGTGCAGGGATCGTGAAACAAGACGCGCACATTAGAAGGCTCAATCCGAGCGCAGGCTGCTTTAGCTGACATTTACCTCATAGAGCGATGCCAGCGACTCGAGGGTGCGTGCGCGCCTGGAACTGAAGCGTATGGAGCTCTGACGATCGAACTGGAATAGGTTTACAAAGTTAGCGATTTCTAAGCTACAACTAGCTGGGCACAGTTAGATCTCTAAACCTACAGATAGATTTCTATTGGAGCCGGTCGCACGGCGATCGGCATAGATAGTTTTCAGCTGTTCCATGCCCGGCGCCGCAATGAATATAACAAATGGCATCAGTTCCTGGCTATTGTGCAGTATCTTCAAGGCGTTCGGCGCACAATCCAATATGCACATGCGACCGCTATTGATCACATCCTTGATCGACTGCAAATGGGTGCCATAGAGATTGCCATTGTGTTCGCCATATTCGAGAAACTCGTTTTGCTTGACTGCCTCCTCCATTTCCTCGCGATCCATGAACCAATAGCTAACGCCGTTCTCCTCCAAGGCGCGCTTCGGGCGACTCGTATCTGTTGTATAAGTTTTAAAGGATTCATTTCAATTCAAGCAGCTGGAAAATTGCATTTAATTACGTGGAATCACGGCGCCAAATTTGTCCACATCGCTGTTGATCAGCCGATTCTTGAGCGTGCGTCTGCCCACACCGGAGACGCCAATCAGTACCAGAGTTTTCCTGCGAAACGGCGGCATGCGGGTGACCTCCTCATAGAGCAGCAGCTCGGCCTTGTCGAACTCACAATTCGCCACGGACCGATACATGGTCTTCCGCTTGCGCTTCGATATCTGTGGAGAATCCATAGATTGAGTGCCAGCCTTCTTCTGGTCTCGGCTCTAGTGGAACCTACCCGTGTGCCACAGATGCCAATCTTGTGCACATAGTCCGCCTCGGGCGCCACAAACGCCTTGCGCCGCTCCTCGAGCTCCTGCGATGGCACCAGACCAATTTTATCCGACTCGGCGGTTATGTTCTTTGCCTGCCACCAATTGGGATCTTTCACATTGATAATCTAAAAGGAAATGATAAAAAATTGCATTTCTTTTCTACATCAAAATCTAAAATTCTGACGCACCTGCAATATGTCGCCCGATTTGAAGGGCAAACCGATGTCCCGGCAGGGCAGCAGCGAATCCTCCGAGGGATTATATGTGAACAGGGCGCGCATATAGCACTAAGAGATTTCAAAGATTCATTAGATAAACACAGATTTCAGTTATATAAGAAACTACCATTTGTTTATGCTTAGCACTAGGATTTACTTACTTAAATGCAGGTGTTTTAGAATTTAGTTAGGATCTTGGTCTAAAGAGAACTAACACATATCATTTGAGATTAAATATGCATCTAAAGGTAAATCAATTACAATTTTTAGGTACAGTGGTCGCTCGGTAACTTGATTTGCTCAGAAACCGGAATAAACATTTTGAATGTTAGTAAATAATTTTCAATAATTATTATTATAATTTTTTTATTTTTCTGAAATTGACATTGATTTATTTAAAGGTCAGGGTTTTCTTTAGCGAGTGACCACTGTAGTTGGCAAAACAACTAGACAAAAATATCTCTCGTATGAAAATCCATGCAAAAAAGTAGCAAATTTTTTTTCTTCTTTAAAAACACACATATAGAACTTACCGTTAGCTTCTTGCCCGATTCAAGATTTGTGATGCCATTCTGTTTTACCTGACCCCCACTGACCGTATAGCGACCACTTTTGATCTCCTCATCGACATTGGGTCCAATCTTGAGCGTGAGATTCTCCTTGGCCCGGGACACCTCCACTTGGAGCTCGTCGGGCGTGCGCACCGGTGTGCCATTCACCTCGAGTATAACATCGCCCACATGGAGCATGCCCTGCTTATCGATCACTCCGCCGGCAAGGATGCGCGCCACCACCAGCTGCTTGAACTCGTCCAGCTCAACGGTCAGGCCCAGCGGCTGCTTGGGATCCCGACGCAGTCCAACCATCTTGATGGTCTCCACAGGCATCTTGCTGTTCAGTATGTCTTCCGTATAGAGATAGCCGCCCGACTGGCGTTGACTTGTCGCCTCGAGTTTTGTTATGGATCCACCGGCACTTTTTAAACGTTGCTCGTACAAATATCCTATCTCATCGTGAGCACGCAGCAGAGCCTGAAGAGAGAGACAGAGAGAGAGTGAGAGAGTTTTAGTCTGCTTTAAAAGAGCTTAAAAAGCTTTCGCTCAGCTAAGGCGGGCACGCGTGAGCTTTTGGTTCAACTCTTTGTGACTGACTGATTGATGGGCGAACTGATTGATGATCGACGCACAGACCAAACCATTAAAGCTGGGAATTTGAATTTTTTACGAGAGTTACGTTTTATGATGTAAATGATCATATAGGCGGGGTTTCTGAAAACTCCATTTGGAAGGTTCGAAATAAGATGAAAAAGGTGCAATTGGCTTAAACTTAATTTAACAGACTTTTTAACAACTTTTTTGAAGAATACAATTTCGGAAAAGGTGTGGCGACTTTTCTGAATGGAACTTGGGTATTGAATTTCCATTTTCCCATAATTTCAACATGTTTCAAATATGTTAATTGAAATACTTACTCGAAAGTGAGGTTGGGCCAGGAGCTTGGCTAGCTCGCGCGATTCCAAACGTCGCGAGGGCGAGAATTTGCGTATGATATCGTCACAGATCGGCTTGTTGTTCAGATGCGCGGGCAGAAAGGCGGGCACTGGCTGCGGCTCGGTTGGATTCAGCTAAGAAAACGAATAGAGATGTGAGTGGATACGTGAGAGGGAGACAAAACATGTACGCATAATTAAATTAAGTTGGGCACAGACTCGGCTCATCATCTCACTGCCCTAGGTCAAGTCATTTATGCTTCGGCTTAATTGACGTTCGCATCCGTTAATTGGCTGCTTTTTTTTGGCAGCATTGTCTCTCGCTCTCTCCCGCGCTCTCTTTTATGGGCTACCCCATTTAACCCCTGTGAACTTTGGTCTGTTCCATTTTAACTCAACGACTTGCTTTGAGTCTTAGGTCAAAAATTAGGTCGTTTGTGCGACACATTTGGGTCGCGCCTAGAAAAGTGAATTTTTTGTGCTTTAATTGCATTTAATTCGCGTCTTCCGGCGCTCTTGTCTTGCGAAATTTATTTACTTTCCAACGTCGGACGGCGCCAACTCATCCCTTGTGTCTCTCTGCACTATGTTATTTCTGTATTTCTGTATTTATTATTATTATTCTTATGTCTCTGCCACAGTTTCCGCCCACGGTGGAGCGACTCACTCATGCAATATTTATAAGCCAGGGAAGAGTTTTCCATTTCTCTAGAAACGCAATGCACTCTGCTGAATTGCAGGAAATTATATTACTTCGCAGCGAACGGAAGCTTGGCGAGATATATAATCAAAATTTACATTTCTTTAAAATGCATCAATTCATTTGGAAAGTTCTTCTAACGAACAGACAGAACTTTTCCTTGGCCAAGGAAATTTTCTATTTACTAATGCTCCAAAAAAAAAAAATGCAAGATTATGAAAATTAAATCTAATATTTAGCCTGATTTAGAATAGAATAATTTTCTAGTAGCATCAGCGACACGATTTCCGGTCAGAGCTATTTTTGTTAGTTAATAGAGAAAAAAAATAATACTTTTTATTTAATCACATAAAATAGAAAAAAACGTATTAAAAAAAGTAAAGAAATTTATGCTAGATATATCTATAGAGTGTTAAGTACATAGGATAAAGATTTAGCAATGGGAAATTATTAACCCGCTAGAGGAAATTTATAGCCTGTTCGGCAATCTATTTTCCCTATTTCTACCCCTTTCCCCCTATTTTCCTAATTTCTAATTTTCCCGAATATTCCTTAAAGTGTGCCAACTTAAACCTTAAATTTAATTCTGATCTAATCTTTTACTGTAAGCTTTAATTTAGAACGGAACTGTTCCAATTGGACTTGTAGCTTGGCTCTTAAGCCTTAAAACCAATATACTCAGGCCTTCAGTTCTTTCTGTGCTTTTATGCAGACAAAAGCTCAGCGTTATCTCTAAGCAGTGATTATTGTTTATTTATTTACACATAGTTGTCTGGCGCATATCGAATTACAGTTCTTCCGTGTGAAAAGAAGCCCTACAGCGAGCTTCCTTTGCTCGCCCTAACAGACACACATACACGCACGCACTTTCACACACACACACACACGAATGACAACTGTTATTGACACTGAGCTTTGCTGTTGCTGTTGTTGCTGTTGTTCTTGTTGCTGGTTGCTAACGCAAAGGGCTTTCACCTTAGAGTTTGGTTTGTTGTTGTCATAACAAATTGCGTAAAAATTTTCAACAGGTAATGTCTAATTGGGCAAAACTCTTATGTTAATTACACACACAATTAACAACAATGAGGTATTTCATATTTTTTTTCTTCTTTGACATACTCTACGTGCGAAGGCTAAACGTTAAAAGCAACTCGCGTATCTTTAAGAAATGTAACCTAAAAACTTGAATTCTTATTGGAGAAACGTATAAAGTTCTTATTGCGCTTCATTTAATAGCATTTAACTAACATTTTTATTTAAATTTATTTAGTTAGTAGTAAGCAAGCACTTTTCGTTTTTCAATTGTACATTTTTTCACTTTTTTTTGGAGCCACTCCCAAAACGCGCGAGCGAGCGCAGCGTTGAAGCCAAGAAGAGCGGAGCGTGACAGCAGGCCAAAAGGTGTGTAAGTATCTGTGTGAGTAAGCCGGAGAGTGAGCTTCTGTCTGTCGGTGTGCATGTGTGCATGTCTGAGTGTTTGTGTGTGTGTGAGTATGCAACACACACGATTTTGGAAATGCCAAAACACAGTTAAGACGTTACACAATAGACGAGACGAGTGCTGCACCGCTTCAAACCAGACGCGACTACGTCATCAAGTTGAATACCAGTTAGCCAGGCTAAAATTGGACTTGGGTTTGTTATTGACTGAGTAACCAAGGTAGCACATGGGCAAAACACTTGTTCCAATTTGCTCTATTTACTTAATGGCACATATACTACAACAAGTACATAATAAAAACAATCACTTTTACTGGTATATGCATGGAAAACCGTTTACTTTACATTAAAAGCGTCTTTAAGTCACAAATAAATGAGCGCGACGATCGCGAGAAAGAGAGTGAGAGAGAGAGAGAAGGAGAGCGCGTCAAGCGGCGAGCGAGTATTCAAAACTAACTGTTGCATATTTGTTGTTGAGCCGCTGCCCCGTTTAAGCCATGCTCAAATGAGCAAAGCGCGCGCACACACACACACACACACACACACGCACACGCACACAAAACTCGCCACCAAGCGCACGCAACAATAGCAGAACCTCACCTTAGCACAGCTCGCAAGTAACTGACTCACATAGAAACCCCGTTCGGCTAAGCAGTTGGGTGTGCGTGCTATGAGAGTGAGAGCGCGCACACTAGGGCTAACTGCCCAGCATATGTGAGTGTGAGCTTAGTTGGCGCTCTTAGTGGCGCGCATTAGTATTAGTGCAGGGGCACTTGTTCTGTCTTATTGGTCTTAACGTTACAACTGTACGCCTCTGTTTAGCACCGCTGTTAGTTAACAGCGCGCGCTTAACAGCAGCTCAGCCAAGCCGCTCTCAGAGCTTTTTGCTGTTGGCCAGCCGCTGCATTAGTAGGCCAACAACTCTGCCGCTGCTCTTGTGCATTTGTTGGTTTTGTTGTTGTTTCTTCTTTTTTTTTTTGTTTTTTTTGTGGCCAGGTATCATAAAGTTTTCATAATTAACACATGCATGCGCATTTAGTTTGAAAATCCATTTGAAAACCAGTTTGTAAAGCTTCGCTGCCCGTTTCTTAGGGCGTAGTTGTTGTTGTCGTCGTATGTTTGTGCTTTTTATGGGCGTCTGGAATTTCGGAGTGACATTTCTTTTAGATTTCTGCTTATCAGCAAGTCTCGTGACTTGTAATTTGTAATTACTTTCACTGCCTTTCTCAACAACGGGTCAGTGTAATAACCACATTGTGCCTCATGCCAAATGTTTATTCTAATTATTCGCGACACGCGACGTCGCTTTAAATGTTTTTTTTTTCGTCTCTTTGTTGGCTTTTGCGTGTTTAGGTTGTTGTTTTTTTTTTTTTTAGCCAGATTTGCCAGAAAAACAAAGGCCCATTGAAAAAGAAAATATTGTTTGACGTATTTAATTAGCTCTGCATTTTTATGGGCATTTTAATTGCGATGAGTAAAGAAAATCAATAGCTTGGCCGCATTGAAATAGGGCAAAAATGACGCCTTTTCAACAGCTTATTATTCAATTATTTACATAATTTAATTCACATATAATTTCACCAGCCAATAGGGTCAAGTTTAATGCGAAAACAAGCGAAAAGGGAATTGTGTTAATTGCTATGCCATAACAATTATCTTAAAAGTCTCAACTCGCAAGTATTTCGAGTATTTCGCACTTAATCAAAGAGCACAAAGGGCAAGGGACAAGCACTTGCCCAGCTTTAGTACATCTTTCTATAGCCCAGCATTACGCTCAAGTGAAAGCTTCTGCACCCCTCGCCCGATTACTTGCATGCACTGCAAGTAATCGGGCGTAAAATAGTTAAAGAAATGATGCAAGAAAAGGGTAAACTTTTTCAACCAAGCATGTGTACGCATATGTATACACTTAGAGAAAACTTTAAGAACTATATACTTAAAAGCTCTTAAAGTCCGTTCGAGGTAAGAAAATCATCATGAAATTCTTAACTTAAGATCTAGAGATATATATAGGCCTCAATTTCGAGACATTTTAATCTAATTTAAGTTTTTCTGCTGTTTCTATAGTTATAAAACCTTTCCTTAAAGGTAAATTTCCAAATCAATTCATGAATTATTGAAAAATATTCAGTAACAAAATGTACTTGAAATATTAAAGAAAATCCAATAAAAAAATTGAAACCATTTCACACTAGAATTCAAAACGAAGTTTTCGCCAAGTGTATGTACCATACATAGATATGAGAGTGTGTGTGTGTGTGTGTGTGTGTCGTGTAAACAATGATTTTTCTTGTCTGCGCGAAATGTTCGATAATGTGGAGAAAAAAATAGCGTACGTTATTTTCCACTTATTGAACGTGCCGGCATTAGCAGATGGTTTGGTTTCATATGAATCTGGATCTAGGTCATGCGACCAAAAAAAAAAAAGTTGAAGGTGTGTGCGTGTGTGTAATTTACATACCATAAGTTCCTTATGGGGCGTTGTTGGATTACTGAGCAAAAGGCCCTTAAGAAAGATTTCATCCGTGTCGGAGAGATCCGCGGAATTGCGATAGGCAGCTAGAAGGAAAAAGCAGCAAAAGATAGCATCTATGTGATTTGAAGCAACTATGTGAATGAAGCTTAGAAGCGTTTTGTTTTGAACAAGTTGCAGCCGAAGATACCGTTACTTTTAGTCGCTCACCGTTATCGGGGTTGTCATCGTCGCCAATTTTATTATTGCTGGCGAGCAGCTCCACCTGGTCCTGGCGGGCCCGACGCGACCGTGCACTCCAACGCACCATGCTGGCGCCACAGGCGAAAACTGTTTGCAATGAGTCGGATTGGCCCAAAAGGCAAAGAAAGGATTTGTGCTAAAGGAAGACTGACGTCACTATGAGAAGCTTACACACACACACACACAGACACACACACACGCGCGCGGAGACGAACACAAGCACTGCAGAAACTAGTTGTGCTGCTAATTTTGGCAATGCCTCAACATATGTTCGAAAGTAATTTTGAATAATCACTTCGTTTTGTTATTATATACACACAGCGCAGCAATAATTCCGCCACGACAACAACAACAACAAGTTGGCAAGACGCGCACAAGTCAAAACACGCCAACGCCAACAGTGCCAGAGAGCGTTTAAATGAAAAGTCTTTTGTTGCATGCTGCCAAAAAGCTTGCAAGCTTGCTCCCAACTTTGGCCAGCAACAAAAACAAAAAAAAAAAAAGAAAACAACAACAAAAACGAGTTTTTCACGCGCTCGATAACGATAACCGAAACAGAAATCTGCTAGTCATTTGCAGCATACACAGTCTGGCAACGCTGTCAGCTATCGTGCCTTAACAGAGCAACCCTAGAAATTTGGCTCGCCTCTATAAATCGGTCGCATGTTCAGAGATTTTCATTGTGTGTAGCAGAGGAGCTCAATAAGCCACATAAGTGAATTTCCATAAGGATAGAACAAAGTAAATAATCGAAAAAATAAAAATTATAAAAATGCCGGACGCAGTGCAGCAAAGCTTTGTGCGCTCCTTCATTGACTACTTGAAGAAGCAAGTCGATGTCATGTCGCCGGATCAGAGCGAGAGCATTGAGGTGGCCATACAATGCCTACAGGCCGCATTCGATGTGGGCGATGACGAGCCGGAAGAGCTGACGGCTTCAACACAGACCACAACGGCATCTGCCGCTGGCAGTGCTGCTGGCGGCGGCACGGGCACAGCGCCGGGCGGCGATGCAGCTGCAGCCGGCAGCAGCGGTGGCCCGATTGCCGTCAATACAAAGAACATTGACATGTTTGAGCTCTTCCAGTCGCTGTACATTGAACGTAATCCCGAATCGCTGGCCTTGGCAGAATCCATCAAAAATGAGGGTAATCGCCTGATGAAGGATGGCAAATACAATGAGGCGCTGTTGCAATACAATCGCGCCATCACCTTTGACCCGAAAAATCCGATTTTCTATTGCAACCGAGCCGCGGCCCATATTCGTCTGGGCGACAACGAACGCGCCGTCACCGACTGCAAATCGGCGCTGCTTTATAACGTCAACTATAGCAAGGCATATTGCCGCTTGGGCGTCGCCTATTCCAATCTGGGCAAATTCAATGAGGCGGAGCACGCATATGCCAAGGCGATTGAACTGGAGCCTGACAACGCTGACTATCGCAACAATCTGGAGGTGGTGCGCAATGCACGCAATCAGCCGCCGCAGCTGTCGCATCTGAGCGATGGCCTCAACGCCATGCTGTCCAATCCCACAGTGCGCAATTTGTTCAGCAGCGCCGAAATCGATCTGGAGCAATTGCAATCGATGACACACAATCCGATGGTCATGAACGCCATCGGTCAATTGTTTTCCAATATCGGTGCACCGGGAGCTGCTGCACCCGGCTCGGGTGCTCCACCAGCCCAAGTGCCGGCCATGCCCAATGATATGTTGCAATTGTTCCAGAGCTTCGCCACGCAGCTGGTGGGTGCGCAGCAGCAGCAGCAGCAACGGCAGCCGGGAGGAACCAGTCCACCCGATGGCCAACAGCCGGGCAATCAGCCGCCGCCAAGCATCTAGGTGTGTGTGCATCGTTTTAGAGTTAACCGAGCGCGATTCGAGCGCTATATAAAATGTACTAAGTTTTAAGCTGAAATAAATTGTGTTAATGTTTAAAAAGGCTTACAATAGACACACACACACACACACATATACACATATATTTATAATTGCTAATAAATGAATAAACACACACAAAGTGCCTCGTTTACTGGTTTCGAAATACAAACCAATCGGGGATTGCAATTTCTAAAACCTTGTTTGTACTGGAATCAGTCGGGGCTATATATATATATTTTTATTTTTTATAGAAGGGTCTTCCACAACGGACGCAAGAACATAAAACAGGGAAGCGCAACTTTGAGGAATACAAACAAGTTTTTCTTGCATAAAACTGCTTAAGAAAACTATATTTGGTTTAGTTTCTATCGAAACCAATTTTTTGTATTTTTCGGTTTATTGAAATTCAAATTTTAATATGTTCGCATATTTTTTTTTCTTGTTTCTGTTGCTGTTGCGCTACGTTGTACAATTGTGAGGCTAATATGTAAACCAAAAAAGAATAATAATTATTTATGCTTGTGAATTAAAGGATTTGACAAACTCTTTTGCACATGTTTGTAAATCTTGTGCCTCGAAAAACAGTAAATACGAGATTGCAAATATCTTTCATACAAGTGGGTGGAGGGTGGAGGGCACTTCAAATGTTGTTTACTTTTTGTAACTGGAGTTGATTATTTATGTTTAGCAGAAGATATTGCAAATTGTTTACAAACTATTTTATATTATTACAGCTAGGCATTTGGATAGTTGATAAATAATGCCTGATATGATAAAACAACGTGCACAGCCAAGACAAAATAAAACTGTGTGAGACGTGAGTGAGCGTGGCGTTGTTTTAAAATATCACGCGTAAATTTGCAAACATGTTGTGTGTTTCAGAAATAAGCAAATTAAAAGGAATTGTTAAAAGAACTGCATTTAATTTGATGCTGATTTGCAGGCTCTGAAATATATCAAAGGTAGACAATTACAATGAAAGCTCACTCGATACTCACCCGGTTGTGTGCGAATAGAGCAGATTGTTCCTCCTTTAGCCAGGATTGGTGTCAGTTTTGCAAGTGGTTTATTTTTACGCGGGACGCTTTTGGAGAATTTTCATAATCTCTCGTTATCTTTCTTTTTTTTTTCTTTTGTGTTGTTTCATGTTGTTTAACGACTAGGATGTGAAAGTTGTTGTTGCTGGGCTGCATCTAATATCTGTTGTAGCGTCGATTCCTAAAGCCGCCTCCACCGCCGCCGCCGCCGCCACCGCGTTGCCGCGCGCGATTGTTGTTGCCATAATTGGAATTCACCTTTCCCGAATACTTGCCCGAGGGCGGCGAGTAGAATTTCTGTTCATTGGATGGCCGCGATTTCTTATCCTGCACCTCATGCTCCTGATTACCATTGGCGGCGCCCTTGTCGCCAAATGTGATGGGCGCATGGCGTTTGCCAAGCTTGCTCTGCAAAGTAGTTTAACATTTAAATCTGATAGTAATGAATTTTATGAGAATGCATACATTTTTGGGCACAACCCAGGAGAGCACAATGTCATGTTTGAATATGGGCGGTGAATGAAATAGATCACGTATCAGAATATTTATGTTTGATGTTGTCTTCAAAGCCGTTTGCTTCAATTGATTCTCCTCGGTTTTCAGCTCCTCGGCTGACTTGCCTTTAAGAGCCTCCTCCAATTTCTTAATGTAACTGAGGAATAAAATAAGTTAGGGAATAACTTGTATGGCTTCATGCATATGAAACTTACCCCTGTGTACCGCGCGCTAGATATTGCAATCTAGCACGAAAGTCTTTTAGTTTTTCGGCATCCTCAACAAACATTAAATTGCCTGGATGCTTCTTGCCCAGCGTGTGCAATGCATAAAGCAAACACTCAGCATGCGAGAATTGAAATGAGGGTGGCGTATCTACGGTATCCTCGTCGCTCAGCTTTGGCAAGGGCATGTATTCCTGTAAATTAGGATTAAACATTAAGTTGGCACACTTTCAGATAAAGCCAAACCATAAAAAACCCACCAATAGCACATTGTACACGGCATTAATGCGTTCGTTGGCATTCTCTAGTTTATCCGTGTTGGTTATCATCTCGGCAAATACTTTGAGCAAACGCAATTGTATCTGATCCTGTGAGACTGCGGTGGCAATCAAATTCCATGTGTTTATTGGCAACAGTTTATCGCAAACATAGGCCACGAATTGCGTTGATTTAATCGTTTTCTACAATTAAAATAGCAAGAATGAATTTAATTGTAACTACTGCAAGTTGTTTGCTTACCGAAAAGTATGGTGCTGCTGCCGTGGCACATTGTATGAAACGTTCCACAACTTCATCGTCAACAGCTATGGCATCCGTATCGGCGGTATTTAGCTCAGCTTGTTCCGTTGCCAACTTGACCAATTCGGCATGGCCGGTAATTGTGTTGCCCAGCTTGGTCGAACCCAATATTGTCATACATAGATGAAATTCATCGGCTGTCACGTCCTGCAATGCCTTCTTGATCTCCTCCACAATGTAATCCTCGATTTCCTTGGTTATGACAGTCGGACCCATTGTCAACAGTTTGGTTGCAATGAACTTAAAGCAACGCTCACGCGTTGGCTCATCGCCCGTGGTTATCTGCTGAAATAAACCAGCAATGGCGCTCTTCGTGTCCAATTTAATGATGCTGAGCAACGAGTTGTTCACTTGCTGCAACTCGGTTGCGTCGTCCAGAATTAGTAGCTGGGCCAGTGTGTCGCCCACGCGGACGGTAGCTTCGGCATTGCCCTGGCATAGCTTGGGCAAATCTTTGATGGCTTGGCGGCGTATCTGAAAGTGGGCATACACATATACAATCACATTTTTTCTAATTATCGCACGGCATTATAATTTATAATTCTTTCTTTTGGAATACTATAACATAAGGCCATGGCCATGTATGCCAGGTTATGTATGCCGCCGGCAGCGGTATTTAATTTTCAGCAGCACAAAGTTAACTGTTATTTGACTTACGCACCTGTGTATCATCATCTTCGCATAAATCGAACTGTGCATCGATTGCGGTGTCTGACAGTTCCGGAAAGTGTTTAAAAAAGTTGCCAATAAATTGCGAAGCCAAACGCTTCTCCTTCGATGTGCCTTTTACGGCCTGCAATATCTCTTTGTATTCCGCAACATGCTGAAAATATTAAAAAGGCAAACATTTTATAGATTTCTTAACTGTTTTTTTTTTTTTTTTAACTAGCGCCGGCGCGGATGCCAATTTGCAGGCTCATGTACTTCAGTACACACATGCACGCACTCACACAGTCATATGTATATGGCAACTACCGTTCATTTTGACGCGTCTTTTTAATGGCGCTTACCTCAGTTATTTTATCTCCCGCTTCGGATAGTATTTCGTAGCATTTATAAAGACGCTCAATGTTGTCCATTGTTGTAGCTTAACAGTTATTTTATTACTAATAATTACTTTTACAGTCAGGTTAACACAGCGAAACGTTTTCCACGATTTTTTTTCTCTCAAACAAAATGGTGTGTCTAGTCAGTGATGTCACTTCTAGTGAGCGTGCTGTCGATTGGCATATGAAGTTATCGGTCACGAGTCATGCGATTGTTATCGAGTAGCGAATAGTTAGTCAGGTAATATAATTTATTTGAAAATTATTGCGGCTACAATTAGCTGATTAAATTATGAGATTGCCTTTAAGGCCAGCTCAAAGTAATCGACCATCATGGGATATATTTCATCGTATTGTTGAATATTCTTGCGCCTGGCATTGTCACGATATCTTTGCAGTGCCCCAGATATCAGCTCCAACTTTTCGCGCTCTGCTGTATGCCCGTCCAGCCATTCGATCAAACGCTCATTTGACCAATTTGCCGTGGTGTGTGGTGATTGCAGCTCTGCGCCAGCATGTCCGAACAGGAGCAGCAGTACTATATAACTGGGCACCAGCGAATCCGCACCAACTGTTTGTTTTACCAGCTCCTCGGGGCTCTGCACAATCAGCAGCGACATGGCGCGCAGCAAACGCGACGGTTTGCCCAGCTCAGCGAAGTTGGGACAAAGTGGTTTCAGTGCCTGCTCCATGTGCAGGCAATCCTGCTTCAGGCGCTGTCTGCCAGCGCTGCTCAAGGGTCGCAAAATGCATAGGTTGTGTATGAAGAGCTCAATGCAGCGCTTGGCCAGCTCCTGACCACATTTACTGGTCATCTCCTTATCATCAAACAGTTCAATGTGGTGCGACCAGGAGCGGCTGACGAACTCCTGTAAGAATAATCATACATTTGTATAGTTATGTGAGGCAAAGGATTAAATCAGTATATGCACCTGCAGCTCCTTCATGTACATTGATGGACCGGTTGTGGCCAGCCTGTCCGTATTGAGACCCGGCTCACGGTGCATGCTTAGTATGATAATACTTATAGCTGTGATAATCGATTCCATAATCTGCTGCAATATGGTGCCAATTAAAAGATCCGCCTGCTCCAAGGAGCGCGCTATGTTCGCACGTGCTGCGCCCGGCGTTTTCTCAAATTGCAGCTGCAGATCATTCAACATGCGACGCACTGAATCCTTGTAATAGTATAGCACATTCGCCAGTTGCGTGTTCTGCTGCTGCTGCAAATTGGGCAAATCGACGACCTGCTTGGAGTCAGCGCCCAGCTTAATTTGTGCTTCCAACTTGGTGCACAGCTCCTTGCCGCAGGCAATAAACACATTGGCAATCGCATTGCTGAGCCGGCTGTCAATGAGCGCTGCGCTCAGCTCCGTCGATGCGACACGTATGAAATTATCCACAGTTTCATTGCCGGGCAAATCGACGCCCGCCAAGCAGGCCTTCAGATTGGCAGCACACTTGCTCACATAGCCGACCTCGAGGGGCGCAAAGAGTTCGTTGTCGAACTGGAATTCATTATTTAGCCGCTGTTCCAGGCCACGTGCCGAGGTTAGCAGCTTGGACAGACCCTCCTGGAGCGTCTGGTTGACATGCTGTGAGCACTCGTCAAAGGATTTACGCAGCAGCTGCTGCACACGCTGCCAGAAGCGCTGTGGAATGCACTGATCCGACGACTCGCTGGTGTAGCCAAATTGATTGATCTGCTCCAGCGCCGTTTTCAGCAGCTTGATTTGTGTGCAGCTCTCATAGAGCTCGTCGTAGAGCAGCCAGTGCAGCGATTTCCAGAATTTGGCGCGAAAATTTTGGGTCGTTGTCAGTTGTGGCGCCTTGCCGGGGCCACGCGCTGCTCCAGCCTTGGCTGCACCGTTGCCACCATGCGTGGGCGAGCGCATGGCATCCGCCTTGTTGAGCACGGATATGTCGGTGCCGGCAAAGCACTCCTTGAGCGATTGCTCCATGTCTGCAATGAACGTGGCCAGCAGATTTTCAAGTGATTTCTCCAGCGTGTTAAAGTTCATAAAGATCTAAATACGATTGAGTTTACTTAGAGGCTGGAGAACCTGTTAACCAGTCACTCACCTTCAGCGCATTGACCACCTGCGTCTGGTTGCGCTCTTGCAGCCCCGTGACCAACTGCATTTGCGTTAAATTTCGTATTTTTTGCCTAGAACTTAACACATAGGCGCGCTCCGCCTGTATAAACTCGATGTCCTTTAGTTCCTTGTCTTCTATCAGCTGACCCAGCTCGAAGTGCAGCTCCGCCTGTCGCAGCACATCTTTGGTATTCTTCAGCTTGGCCGTTAACGTGAGCAATGTGCCTGCCGAGCGCAGCAGATGTGACACCTCATGGAGTCGACCAAGCACTTGGGTTTGATTCTCCACCAGCTGGTATTGGTTGTCCACTTGGGATTTCAGACGATGTCCTGTGGCGCGCACGCGTTGCACATCCTCGGCCAGCGAATTGAGTGCGGCATCAAAGCGGCCGGCGTGTGTTGCCTGCTGCAGCAGTGCACCATGCTTGTCGCGCACCTGCTGATGCAGCTCTTCGGTGGTGTTCTGCAGCCGTTTCGATAGCTCCTGGATCTGTACACCAATCGTCAGGTGCGACATGGCCGAGGTGTAGTCGTCATCAGCAACAGCACCGTCCAAAACGGACTTATCCTTGCTGGCATTGGTTGCACTGGCAGCCATCATATTGGACACCCTAAAAAAATGTTTAAGTTGCCGCTTAATATTGTTTTAACTATTATTAAAGCCTCTTAAATATTAAACAAAACACGTACATTGCCAGCTTGTCTGGCCTTTAATTTGGTATTTTTGGCTTGGGGCAAATTTAGGCAATTCCTTGTTTGTTTTGATTTCGCTGCATAAGAATATTGGTATTATTATAATATTATTATTTCAATGCTTAATTAAATAAATACTATTTAATCGACCTGTTGCATATGTTAAGTGTTATTTTAGTTTCATTCGTCATTTGTAAAATGGGCTCCCATTCGTTCTAATTGCAAATTTCGTTGCAAGTTCAGTGACCTTAACGTCATACAAATAACGGAACTTAGCTAGTGGGCCACTGCGCCCATACATTGCCCTTTTTCTTGGTATTTATTTTGGTATTTTTGTGGCCGCTTGAGCAAATTTAGTCAATTTCTTCATGTTTGTTTTGGTTTTTGCTAAGAACAAAACAATATTGGAATTTTTATAATATATATATTTTTTGTTGCTACCAGCAAAATGTCCGACGACATAAAAAAGTATTTCAACGGTCTGCTGCAGAAGTAAATGTCGTTTTAGCAACAGTTATTAAACTGGCACCCACACACCATGCTAATTACGAATTGCGTTTTCTTGCAGGGTCAGCGGCCTCTACGTCATACAGATAACGGACCGAGATGGCGTGCCGCTGCTACGAGTTAGCCACAGTCAGGAGAAGAATGTGGACTTTGCATTAATGCCATCATTCATACCCACATTTACCACAGCCTGCGATCAGGCCAGCAAACTGGGCCTGGGACGCAATAAAACAATTATATCAATGTATTCCAACTATCAGGTGGGTGTGTGTGCTAGAGATGGGTGCGTGCCTTTCAGGTCCACACAATGCGAACCTGGAAACATGCACCCTACTCCGTATGGAATTGTATAGTTCTATGACTCACCAACTTTCTTTCTCCCCCTCTCCCGACTGCTGCAGGTCGTCCAAATGAACAAATTGCCGCTGATTTTAACATTCGTTGGCGCTGAAGATTGCAACACGGGCCATATATTGGCACTTGAGCATCAGGTGGATGGCTATCTGGAGGACATAAAACTGGCCGTTACGGAGCCATAGAAACGCTTTTGTACGAATACGAATGTAGTATATATGTATATTTAAAAAAATGAAACTTTTTACTTGGCTTAAATGCAAATGCTGAATAATATTTGTCTACGACTGATTCGCAAAATGAGCGCCACCTATGGGGAATGATCAGCAAATCACGTTACATTTTTCCATCTTCCTCTCTCAATCACTTTTAAAACTAGAATACATTCCGAAAATTGCAAAAACTCTCTGTTTACACCCAATCAATCTTTAGCTATTGTAGTTTTAAAGCTCGTCGTGCATGCTCTGTGCGGAGGCAGTGTAGGCATCGCTATCGCAGGCAGCGGGCGTCTCAAATTCGTAGTAGTATTCACAACGATTCGGCTCGCTGACCGCGGTAATGCGTGGTTCCATTGCGCATTTGATATTGATTATGGCGGAGCGTTGTGGTCCGTTCCAGCAGGCAGCGCCTTGCGTGTACTTTTGCCGGCTATATTTGCTGGCGCCTTCGCCAATCCATTGATCCCAACGGCCCAAAGTGGTTTCGGCGCCGCCGTTGCGAGGCTTTTGCGAGACACGATCGAAGGGGCAGAGCGTGTAGACATATTCGCGATCCTCATACGTATAGCACTCGCCATCCATCACCGCCCACTCCTCGTGCGGGCCATAGTCCTTGCCCTCCTGCTCGTCAATCTCCTTGACTTCGTGTTCGATTTCGCGTATTTGACGTGCCACCTCCTCGTACGCATTGCGCGCCTCGTTGGCCTGCTCAATGAGACGCTGTGTTTCCGGATCGTAGGCCGGTGCCGCTGTAGTTGTCTCAACTTCGGGTGTTGCTTCACCAACGCCCACATCGGGCTCTTCGTCGTCGTACTGGTCCTCATCATCTTCGCCATCGTCTTCTTCTTCGCCGGCAGCACCAGTTTCCATGTCCGCTTGTTCTGCAGGCAAATCGTTAGACACAAAGTTGGATACATTTCTGATGTGGCTTACCCTCACTTGGCTCTGGATTGTGCAGTTCAGCGCCCTCCACGTCCGCCGCCTGAGGCAGCTCCTCCTCTTCAGCGGGCGCCTTCGGCGGCTGGAACAAACCATCAGCTAGCATTTTCAGTGGCTTAATTCGCGGCCAAGCTAGAGTAACGAAGGCATCCAAATCCATTCGATCACGTTCATCCAGGAAGTATCTGGCCTCCTCCACGGTCACAACGCCATTGCGATCGCGGTCCAGGTTCATGTCCACCATCAGCTCGGTTACCTCCACGAAGCCATCCTTGTTGGTATCGTAGCGCACAAAGCTAAGGGATGCCTCAACGCGCATTTGCTGTGGCTCCTGTTCCGCCTGCGCCGTCTCTGCATCCAGTTCACGTTGTTGCTCCTTGAAAGCCTCTACCGCTTCAGTTTCCAGAGCTTCAGCGTTCTGTTTGAGCTGCTCCTTCTCGACCTTCAAAGACTCTTGCTCCTTAATCCGCGCATTCAACTCGGAACGACGTGCCGCACGATCCGCCTTCATTTGTTTACCGCGCGATATCATCTCCTGCCGTTTCTCGGCACCCCGCTTGTGCAGTTCTGCTTCGTTGCGACGTTTTATGGCCGCAGCGGCGCCCAGCTCGATGCAGGTGTTGGCACAGCCCACCGCGGGCAACTCATCACTGCCATCACAACAATCACAGATGCCATCCTGGACCAGGGAACTGGGTATTTCCACAGGCTGATGACCCTTGTTGGTGCAGTGGAACTGCGCCAGTGGGCAGGCTGAAGTGCCCGGCTCATCGCTGCCATCGGCGCAATCACAGTAATCATCATTTACCTGTGTAAATGGTATCGTTTTGCTTCCATCCAGGCAGCTCCATTTGCCATCCGCCTGTGGCTGATACAGGGCCGCCTTTGCTAGTGAAACACCGCGTGGACGTGGCACTTCACCGCATTGAACTGCGTTTAAGGTATATGTTAATATTGCTAGTAATATTAACTCTAGATTTGTTTCACGCATGTTAAAAACTGAGTCCTCGCACTGACAATGAATTACGTGGAAATTTTACACTTGTAAATGCCGGTCTGCGGATAAGTGTGGCGTATATGGCTGCCAGCAAAATACCAAATTTTTATTGAGCACTTTAAAGAAAAATACTGCAATCAGTAAATGATGGTAACACATAGAAATTAGCTTGTGAGCACTTGTCGACAATTGCTACTGAATTTAATAATTTGTAAAAATGAGATCTGGTGTACATGTAATTACCAAAACACCACTTTTGGTCCATTTGTACCACGGGTGGTATGTTCAAGTTGTATCGTGTATGCGGACTGAATGCAACAAATTTTTCAACACAGTGGCAACTCCGGCAAATCAGCTGCCGGTTTGTTATTTAACTGTATGCCTTAACTTAGGGACAAGAGCAAAACAAGTGATATTATGGATTTTCTGACACAAGTATGGACCAAGGCAGCAACTACAACGGACGCAGTGCCTCCAGCTGTGGTGCTGCCGGATGCCAAACCCGTGGAGGACACAAACACCACAAAAGCAGTCAAAGACTCAGCGCCACCCAACAAAGAGCGCAAGGAATGGGGTTATGATCTCTATCCGGAGCGTCGAGGTGAAGCCTTCAAGCCCAAATGGACACGCGTGTTGTTCGGCCTCGAGGGTCAGGAGAACATCGATCGCTACAAGTGCGAACAGAACGTCTATTGGTGCGTTAAGAATGGTCCGCTCGTGAAGCTAATGATGGGCGCACTGCGCAGCTCCGGCTGCCCAATGGATCTGCGGCGACACATCTCCTGCGAAGTGTGCGATCCCAGTGTTACCGGCGGCTACGATCCACTGCTCAATCAGATTGTTGTCTGTCAGAATATGGCCAAAAATAAGAGCATGGTGCATGGCGTGCTGACGCACGAAATGATACATATGTTTGACTATTGCAATAACGACTTGGACTTTCGCAATGTGGATCACTTGGCGTGCACAGAAATACGTGCCGCCAACCTGGCACATTGCTCGTTTTTGAGCGCCATGATGCAGGGCGATGCATCGCCATTTAACATCAAGGAGGCGCATCAGGTGAGCTTAATTAATTAAATTAATCGAAAAATGATTTACAATGCTTATGATAATTTATTTAAATCCTACAGAACTGTGTCAAATCCAAAGCATTGGCCTCGGTGCTAGCTGTGCGTAACATAACCCACGAGCAAGCCGTGGCTGCGGTCGAGCGCGTCTTTCCCAAATGCTATGCGGATCTGGAGCCCATCGGGCGACGAATACGCCGCAATTCAACGGATCAGCAAAAGGCGTTCATGGAGGCGCCCATGTATGGCTATGATGTATATTAGGACGGTTGTACAAATGTTTTATACAACGGAAAAAAAACCAATAAAATTATATTTTAAGAATTTACCAAGGGCAATTATTGCAATGCATTATTAAACATTGAATTTGAAACGTTATTGTACAAAATTAAATTAATATTGCACATTAATTGTGTATATTTTTCAAGGTTGAACGCTAAACTATACGATTTTTTTCTATTTATATGAAGCCGAAACGCTTGCGCTCTAATTTTAGTAAAAGTTTATAGGGCAAAGAAGAACATGGACGATTGTGAAATTATTGGCATTATATTAGAATTTATAGGCGAAGTGTTGTTCGGTTGTAAGTTAAAGATGAATCCCAATCCAATATAATCAACAGCATATAACTCCGTCTTTCCATAGCTGAGGACGACGACGGCTCGGTTGATGATTACGATAAATAAAGTTTAATTCGAAATTCCTGCATTAAAATTCCAACAATGATATATAAATCAAAAAAAAACATTAATTTAATAGCTGCACAAATAAAAAAAAATTAATATTCAAAATACAAGCTATAAAAACCAACGGAAAGTCCGAAAAATATTTATATAAGCTGTAGAAATGGATTGCTGCGCTTTGGTGGAAATATTTTTGGGATTCTTTAACGATTTGTTTTTCTCGGACATCAGTAAGTCAGAAATTAGCTATTTGTTCATAACTGACTCTCTCCCTTTCCTTTTAAAAGCTGATGGGGAATACTTTGGCGAATATTATGACGAAGAATATTACGATTAAAATTGCGTAACATGAGCGCAATTTGCTAATAAAATTGTTTTGAATTTGAATTTTAGTTTTAAAAGCTTTTCAATAAGCATGAGATTGGATCCAGTCCATGCACATGGGTGAGTATAATTTGTAGGCCCAAGATTGATTAAAATTAACTTTTGCGTTTTGGTTATGGCTCATTAAATCGGCGACTTGCGTGTCCAGTCCGAATAGTCCAAATGGCAATTGCTGTCATTTAGTTACAGAACGTTAGGCATAACGAACCGAATATGTTTTGGGATCTATTGGGCGGCATATTTGATTTCATAATGGGTCTGATATTTCCCAGTGAGTAGTGCTCTGCAGTCGAAACAAATCAATAAAGTACACTTCACACAATAGGTTCCGATGGCGATGATGAACCGGATTCTTCGGAGGTGGAAACTACAACCTGAAGTGCAATAAACGTCCATGATAAGTCCACAGCAGCTATTCTTGATATATTTCATATAATATAATTGGTATTAATTCATAAAAGACGGTGCTTAAATATAATCTACGAAGGGTAATAATATACCTTAAACTGCTTTATTACTATTCCAGATGAGTAAAAAAAAGCCAATTAACGTGTACTATATACAGGGTGTGTGCTACTACGATTTCACAATGTTTCGCTTAAAATAATTTATAGAGCTTCTTGAGTTCCTGCTTTTTCCATTTGGGCAGCTCATCGAATTCATAGAAGGACATTTTAAAGACAGAAACAAAATCATCATGCGTTAGGTGTACCTGAAAAGGATAAGCATATAATAATTAATAGTACAGGATATGTTGTTTTATTGCTCGGACTAACCTCACGCCGCAGCGGATTGATTTCGGGGGGCAGCATATCCATTTCCTGCACCAGCACCGGCAATGGATACTTTTTGTGCCCATCGAAATCCTTTTGGTTGTTGTTAAGCAATAAAGCGGAACCCTCCTTTAGACCGTTGCTGGGCGCTACGGTGCCCAGTTCCTGGCGCATCTGCTCATAGGTGAGGAAATTCTGCAGAAATAAGAATAAATTTTAATTGGCATATAATTGGATTATTATATTATGGATTAAGCCCATACCTTGCCGCGCTCATTGTCCCATGTCTCAAAGAAGCCCTTGAACACGTTGGGCTCCTCATGTTGCCGCACTACAGCCAAAGCCGTAGCTGAGCGTCGTCCGAATGGTGCATTCTGCACATAGCTCTGCGCAATAGATGTGTATCGCTCACGTTCCTGGCTGCGCGCCTGGGCGCCGAGCCACACATATGCCAAGGTGCCCGTGTCGAGAATGTAGGTGCAATCTGCGCTGAGATCCTGTTGCTCAAAGCCCAATATTTCCTCGCAACGCAAATGGGTCTTCTCCCACCAGACCAAAAAGAGCTGCACTGGCGGACGCGGCTTGATCGGCACAGTGGTGTTCAGATAACAATTGTTGCTCAATGTGGGCGAAATGTTGCCGCCGACGCCGTTGCTGCTGCCGTTGCACATGCTGCCGGCGCCGCTGCTGCTGCTGCTCGTTGTGCTGCTGGCGCACGACTGGCCATTGATGACCAGCGTCTGATTGAAATACATGGCGACCGATTGCCAGAAATCCTTGCTTTCCTTGCCCTCCAGCACCAGTGAGCTCTCGCCCAGCAGGGCGCCGACTGCTTTGGCCATTTCACGTGCATCGCCCGTGCTGCTCTGGCCGCACCAGACCCACACATGATTCGTCTTGATGGCATAGCAATCCTTGGAGCTAATCGATGATAGCGGATGCTCCTCCACTGCCTTGGCATTGTAGCTGGCATCGCCATAGATCTTCAGCAAAAATGTCTCCAGCATGATGTTCGTCTTGAAGTCCCAGTTCATATTGTTATTGGAATGCAACAGCTCGCTGCGCTGCCCACGCATGATGATTAGTTTGCCCTCGAAAAGCTGCAAGAAATGCGGCGTCTCATCGAACTCGTAAAGTTGCACAAACATGCCGGGCTCTTTCAGTGTCTCGAAGCTGGTCATGGCAAAGCTATCGGCCTTCGCTATTGTTTCGGCAGACGCCTCTGAGCCATTCCACTGGTAGATGATGCTCTTAATGCCCACGGAGGCCAGATCAGCGGGCACAACGGTCGCGCACTGTGTACGTTATAATATTTATTAATATTTTCTTAATAATATGCAACGACTTTTCTCACAATTGTCCGCTGTCACAATAATCTATTACAATACAATGGTAAACAAAAGTAAGCTCGACTATAAGATTCCACGTGCTCAGCTCTAAAATTGCCCCAACATTTAACATTTACTTATATGCAAATATGCACCCAAACAAAAATTCAAAATATCACTAAAATTAGATTAAAACCTGTTGACCTTACTAGAGATTATGAAAATCGCATAGAAAGGCGATAGAAAAAGAGTGAGCTATATGACCTTTAACAGGCTTCTATACTAGTATAAATGAACGAAAACCCACTCAAGTTAATGCATGTAAAACCCACTAAAAATTCCCAACGAGCACAACTTCTTGGCCAACCCACTGAATGCAAAATAAAAGCCATTCAAATGTGCTGAATAAACCACTAAATTGGCCAACACTGATTGCGCACTCACCTGGACCGTGTACTTGACCACATAGGAGGCGTTGGTGGTGAACACCACAGCTTTTGCGGCTGGCAGCTCCTCCAGCTGGTCGCCGAATATGCGATACAGAATGCGTTCGCCACGTCCATCGTCCACCAGTTGGGTATCGGCGGCCATTTTGGGGCGTTCGCCCAGCAGAACCGCATCCAATTTGCCAAACTTGGTGGAGACGGGCTTGTGACCGCGTGTATTGTCCTGCCAGACGGTCAGCCAGTTGCCGAACAGACGCTTAAACTCAACGGGTTCACGACCCTCCAGCACACGCACCACCAGCGTGCTATTCGGATATTTCTTCTTCTTGACAAAGGCGCGTCCATTGCCCATGGCTGTAAGGGCATCCGCCTGCGTTGCCTGTGCGCCCACCCACAACCAAATGCTCTGTCCGAAATTGTCCAGCAAATAAACACCATGCGCATCGCTCAGATCATCCTTGGTGGGCATGCCAACGTCCAGCTGGTCCAAATGGAGACGTCCACGTTGATTGCATTTGTAGATGCGAAACTTGTTGCCATTGGCATCGCCCTTGTTGCTGCACTCGTAATCGTTGCCCTGCTGGCGTGCCTGATAGACCATGCGCTGCTGCAGCGGCAATACCGTATTCCACAGCTCCTTATGCTCGGCGCTCATGGACTGCTCGTAGCCATCATCCACAATGCACAGCTGGCCGTCCTTGCGCTGCCGCTGCACCCAGGCCAAGGCGCTGCGCCGCTCAATTGCCGCACTGGAGCGTCCAATCCACACAAATGTCACGGCATCCGTTAGCAGTACCATGATGTAATCCGAATTGAAGTGCGTCCAGTCTACGTCGGACAGCTCAACGGCCCGTAACCATTTGCGTCCGTACAACTGAAAGAGACGCGTCTTTTGCGTTGAATTGATCAAAGCGCCGGAGAGCACACTGAAATGCAAAAAGAATTGGGATTAGAATTTGGCAAGGGCAAACCTAGTTTTGTGAATATGAATCGAATCAAAAGAAAATGCCTCAATTCCATCCGCATACCAAATCATAGACAATGTGATTGGATATCAATACTCACTCATAGCCATTTTTGAAGTAGGACAAGAAACGTGCGCTCTCATGATTCTGTGTTTCGCGATAAATGGACGCCACATTGCCCAGATACGAGTCGAGCTCCTGGATTTTGTGCACCACATTGGAGCGATTCTGCTCGGTAACATTGCTGCCCAGCCAGTAGTGTATATAGCGCTCTAGCGGCACATTCGGTTTCTGCTCGCGCGTCTATAATGAAACATTTGGATTGAGATTAATTGAACATTAAATATGTCTCTGGGTGTGCATACGATAGTCTCGTGGTTGGCATAGTGTCCGACGAGATTGGATGCGTAGATGATGTAGGCACAGTTGTCATAGAAGGTGCCATATTGTGGTCGTGCCACTGCCTCCAGGTGATCCTCGTCAATTTTCCAAAGTGCAAAGCTAACGGCCTGCTTGGGCAGCTTGCGGAATGTGGCATCCACCTTGAGGTCGGGTATCGTGTTTGGACGCACCTCCTGGATGGGAAACAAGAGCATGATATAATTTATAAGAGATTGTAGACAATAACATTGTATTGTAATCTTGTAAATAAATTCTACACTAAGATGTTTTTTAATTCGAAGTATCGCCGAAATGTCTTCCTGGTGAGAGTAAAGAGCTGGCAACTATTACAGCTCACTTCTGGTTGTAAAATATTCTTGTTTTAACTGTTCTCCACTCGATTTACATTTAATGGGAGGGTAATCAACTTTCGAAGCCACATTTTCTGATGCATTTTTCAACACTTAAATGCAGTAATTGATGGCGCTTGTCAGTCAATTTAAAACGAAGTGTTACAAGTGCACCGAAACACCTTTCAAATGGGGTTCACAATTGTTTCTCAAACATGAGACAGTTTTTCAAATAGCTCACAGGCTTTTCCGACTAAGCCAAGGATGTGCACCCAAAAAAAAAAAAAAAAAAAAAAAACAAAAAAAGAAAGAAAAACCTGCTGGCCAGGTCGGACCACGCTCTGCATTTGGCTTTTCCCGATTGCGATTGCGCGGCGAGCGTTCGCCAAGTGATAGTGAAAATTGTACCAGAGTGACGGGCAACCGGGCAGCCGGGCAGCCAGTTTTTTTTTTTTTTTTTTTTGTTTGAACATTAATTTTGCTATTTATTTATGGAACGCTGGCTGGAAGTGGAAAGTGGTCGCCGTTGTAGTTTATATACGATTGGGTGGCGTCTTCTTCAGGCGTTGTCCAGCTGCAGCTCAATTAAAATATGTATTGCATTAGCGAAGAGCGAACCGATCTTTATCTAAAGCTGGAATATAATTAGCTCGAGTTGTATTTCGTTTAATTAACCAACAGCCGTGTCTTTGACATTTGACTGCATCATAATAGCATTATTTATAAATATTTTCCAAATGAATATGTTTTTTTTTTTCGAATTGTGTGCAGTGAGCAAAAACGAGTTCATGCTACGCCTCGCTGCGATTGGGCCTGGAGCTGGGGCCGGGTCTGGGTCTGGGCTTGGGGTGACGCCATCGACCATAAACCAAATGACATTTCATAGAAATCGGTGCAAACAGCAATTATAATTGAAATTGTGTTTTGCTCATAAATAAAAGAAAGAAGTTAACGTTAAAAAAAATCAAATACTTGCACTCGTCAAATAACACGTAAACATTTTAATTATTGTCTGCAAATGGCAAATCGGTTGCTGGGAGCTGCTCGGCGGCTGATAAAGATTGATGAAGGAGCTCGACTCCAGCAGCTGCGTTTGTCACACGCCCGTTAAAAATAGTCTCAGACAAATAACTGGCACATCGAAGACATATATATACATATATACTCGACAATTGGTCTTAGTCTCAAGAGTAGGTTGTAAAAACTTTCACAGTTTTTGTTTCTGGTTTCGACCAATTAGTGTCATTTTTGTGGCC